CAAAATATTGCAAGTGCTAATGTTTTAAGCATGTTTTTATTTTAAGTTAAAAAAAACCCCTTTGTGTTTGTGTCCTTTTATAAAGTTTATATCTCCGATACCTGGCATTACATTTTATGACACACATGTCCCGGCCCAACAAGGTCTCATTTATGTCAGATCTGGCCCTCATAACAAATGAGTTTGACACCCCTGCTCTAGCCTGTTGGGGATGCTATGGGCAAGAGCCAATTGGCAGCAAAGCAGATAGGCTGCAATTTCAGAAGAGAGAGTTGAAAGGTAAGAGTGGATATGAAGATGTGAAGGGTGAATTCTGGGAAGAAAAGCAGAATGGGGAAGGATAAAGCATACTTTGCCTTGACAAGGAGGATCCATAGATTTCATTCTCATGATGATGGAAAATCCAGATTATCAACTACTACAACCAAAGGCTTGACATACACTTTGTGTGCACCTAGATTTATCTGGGTACAAATGGGAAAGCGCTGCTATTTCTCAAAATTAGTGCAGAATTATGATCCACTGTGGCATTGGACCTGTGTGGCATTGGACCTCTAGCTGCCTATTTATGAGATTTGGGTTGCACTTTGATTGGTGCAGCTCTGGAAAATGAAACCCCAGTGGAACGAGGGTCATGGTCATGGTCTGGTGTGTTATGGGACATTAGGGCTGCCAACTCTGCCATTGGGAAATTCCTGGAGATTTGGGTGTGGGGCCTGGGGAGTGTTTGGGGAGGGAGGATCTCAGCCACAGAATCCACCTTCCAAAGCTGCCATTTTCTCCAGGGGAGCTGATCTCCATAGTTTGGAAATCAGTTGTAATTTGGGATATCATAATCCCGCTGTACACTGCATTGGTCAGGCAGCACCTGGAGTATTCTGTCCAGTTCTGGAGGCCTCACGTCAAAAGGGATGTGGATAGAATGGAGCGGGTGCAGAGGAGAGTGACGAGGATGATGGGGGGCCTGGAGACTAAGCCCTATGAGGAAAGGCTGAGGGATTTGGGAACGTTCAGTATGAAGAAGAAGAGGTTGAGGGGGGGACATGATTACTCTCCTGAAGAATTTGAAGGACTGTCACTTAGAGGAGAGCAGGGAGCTGTTCCTCTTGGCAGCAGAGGATAGGACTCACAATAATGGGCTTAAATTAAGGACGGGAAGGTACCCAGCTGGATATCAGGAAAGACTTTTTTACAGTAAGTTGTGCAACAGTGGAATCAGCTGCCTAGGGAGGCAGTGAGCTCCCCCTCACTGGCAGTCTTTAAGCAGCAGCTGGACAAACACTTGTTTAGGGATGCTGTAGGCTGATCCTGCATTGAGCAGGGGTTTGGACTAGATGACCTGTATGCAGTGTTCCCTCTAAGCTGAGTTAGCCTCTGGTTCACACATTTTTGTCTTAGCTCAGGGAAGGATGGCTCCAAAGCAAACTAATTTATGCAGTAGCCAAATTGCTTGCTCACAACTTTAATGCCAGTAGCTCACAAAGTAGAATTTTTGCTCATAACATTCCACAGCTTAGAGGGAGCATTGCCTGTATGGCCCCTTCCAACTCTGTGATTCTCTTATTCTATATCTTCAGGCCCCACCTGGAGTGTGGCAATGCTACAGGACAGTTTAAACCTTTTGTTTTTAGAGGTACCAGAAAAAGAGTAGCAGGGGAAGGTAATATGACAGGTGGCAAGTAATTGGATTAGTTTGGGTGGGAAATGCAGCTCAGCCCTGCTGACAATGGCCAGAGGATGGCCTGATAGGCCTTCCTGTACTCTTGATTGAGACCAGGGAAGTCTTATTGTGAGGGGGATTTTGAGAGCCTATCGTGCATTACTCATGGTCACAGGTGTATTTGGAGAGTCAGAAAAAAGATCTTTGATTAATGTTTCCCTGAAGGATTCAGGTGATCAAGCTACTGCCTCTTGAAAGCACTTGGAGAAAAGCATTAATTACTCAAGACCCTGTCTTGATATTAAAACAGAAGGATTCATCTGCACCTCTGCATTTCAAAGGCCAGAAGGTCTCAGGGTACAAAAGAGGAAGAGCCATGAGGGCACCATGGGGGGGGGTCAGCACCACTGGGGAGAAAAGCAGGAAGAAAACACTGAAATAAATAAATGTTCAAGCAATGTAAAGTACTTTCTTTGGTAATTATTGGCTATGATCCATCACACGGAGGAATCACGAACCATGCAAAAATAGGGTCTAAAATATCTGTTCCTTACAGAATAATGCCAATATCCTGTTTCATCCTTTTGCATTTAGTTCTTATACTGTTGCCTAATATCAGTAATATGTAAATATTATAAAACTATTTTGAATTCTATTTTTTCTTCCATGGTGGTTCTTGAAGTCCCTAATTAAATCCCATCCAGTTGGCATTATCAGCGCAATGACATTACTGAGGAATTCAATTCATCCAGCAGATGTTTCATGGCTGATTTCACTGGGAACTCTGTGACTTCTGTTTTCCCTTATTCTTTGGAACCACGTCCTAATTTTAGAAAAGTCCTTCTGGTCTAGTGGGCAAATAACCAGACCAAAATAACTTGCCTACAAACCTCAGAAGATACATCAGTTATATCACAAACTGGATGTTTATCCAAATATGTTTTCCTCATATCTACTGGCCAAAGTTGCAGATGAAGAAGTAAGATGTGCTCCTGATTAGCCACTCTGAGAAACAAGTGAGCCTAGATCCCAATCCCTGTTCCCTATCCGTGGTCTCCTAGAAAGGTCACTGTACAAGATGGCGCTTTCCCCGCACCTCTAAACTGGCAACTATGAATGGAATGGGTGGGCAGTTGGCATCCATCAAGGGACATATGTGACCCAGAGACCATCCAGTTGCAGATTCTTAATATGCAGCATAATTATTAACTTTGGAAAGCCACTTAGTGTAAAACAGGGCTATTTTTGGGCAGGAACGCACAGGAACGGAGTTCCAGCTGGCTTCAGAGTTGGCCACACCCACTACAGCCAGAACATCTGCGTGAGTGGCTACAGAGGGAAGGCCTGGAGAGTGAACTCCCCCCCAGCGACTCTGAGGTGGGTGGGCCAGGAGGGGCCCTGGAAGGATCTGGGAGGCATTTAAATGCCTCCTCGTGCCTTCCCCAGCCTGTCCAAGGGCCAGCTTGCCCAGGCTACCCGCAGCTGAGGGGCACCAAGGCAAGTCAAGGGAAGGCATGGGGGTGTGCCCTAATATGCTAATGAGCTGTGCTATCGGGGGGTGGCCTATTATGCTAATGAGTTCCTGCTGGGCTTTTTCTACAAAAATAGCCCTGGAAAGATAGGGCAATAGATCCCCCAAAATATATCATGTTAAAAAAGCAATAACTTGCCCAAATCGGCTACAAATTACAGATGCTGTTTTGCCTTTTTGTTGCACTATAACTTTTAATTATAAAAAGAATTCTGCATAATACATCCTAAATTGCTGTGTAGATTTTAATAGAATTAAATCATCTCTACATTGTATAGATGTGTGTGCTGCACCTAGTTTTGTAATGTTGATGTTAGCCCCTAAGAAATGATTCACATAATTCTTTTTAGGATTAAAACATGTAGATTACTGTGCTAAGAGAGTTATGGCCATTTGCTCAATACACCTCTTGCTTATAAGGGGTTAGCTCTGCAGGCTACCATCCTTGCCTGGTGACTGAGAAGGACCTTGTTAACAATAGACATGCAACAATAGACATCCAGCCGAATGGTGGCAGAGGGGTGATTTCACTCAATTCCCCTTCTCGTTCCAGCCCTCATTTCCTTGGCTTTTTATCCAGGAAAGTCCCACAACCCAAAGCATTTAGCTTTGCAGGAGCTTCCTAGGTGCTGCTGGGAGAATGGAAAAGCTGGATCTTATCCAGTGGTGGGAAGCTGGTGGGAAACAACTCGTGGTCTGTGTATGCTGTGCATGCAGTCTTGTAGCATTCTAAGGGTTTCTAGCTTGGTAGCAAAGATTCATGCTTTTACAGAATGGAAACAGCCTTCTGCATGTACAAAATGATCTAGAACCTTCTACCTGTACTCACTGCACAGTAAAGATGTACAATATGGTGTGATTTCTGTCTTTAACTGTGGCTGCAGATTATTTCACCGTGAACATAGAAATCAGGCTACAAAACTACCATAAATTCTGATAATGAGTCAAATGTGTACAATGGCTTTCTGTGGTGAAGCCGTCTTACAACTATTTTGTAAGAAATTCAGAGAACAATGAATGCAGGGCCATATATTTCCAGTTCCAGCATTAACATTTTACAGAAGGACAGAAAAACTGATTTTGAAAAATTGGGAATACTGGAGCCAGATGGGGAGAAATATTTTGGCTGATTTCGCACTAGAGCTGCCTTGCGGTTGCGCCGCCGTTTGCCCTGACACTATTGGTCAATTTCACACCCGAAGCTGCGGGGCTGCATTTTGACTTGTGGCTTCACCTGATTTCCCCCGCAGTTTCGTGATCCTGTTTTTTGAGGATGACGAAACTGCGGAGGAAATCGGACGAAGCCGCGGGTCAAATGCAGCTCCACAGCTTCGGGTGTGAAATTGACCAATAGTGTCGGGACAAACGGCGGCACAACCGCGAGGCAGCTCTAGTGCGAAATCAGCCTTTGTTTTCATTATAAACTCCTGTTCAGAATATTGTGTCACTAACCAGCATGTCTACTAGAGCTCTGGGTTGGGAAATACCTGGTGATTTTGGGGATGGGGCCTGGAGAGGTTGGGGTTTGGGGAGTGGAGGGGAAGGGAGGCCCCCCAGCATGGTACAATGTCATGGAGTCCACCCTCCAAAGCAGCCATTTCTGGCAGGGGCACCGATCTCTCTAGTCTGGAGAGCAGTTGTAATAGTGGGAGATCTTCAGGTCTCACCTGAAGATTGGCAACCCTAATGTCTACCTTATTGCAATAACGGGTTCAAGAAGTTATGAATATAGGAATATTGAACATTGCAAATCACCTCAAGACTTTTAGCAAAACCCTTTGTATGTGTGTGTGTGTTCTTTTTTGAAAGAAATACTGAGAAGAGCTTCAAATGGCCAGTGTTCATTCTAATTGTCATCACTGTATGGGCTCCCTTTGTGGAAGACAGTATGCCATGAAAGAAGAGAACGCCTACTGTGTTAGGTGCTACGATAGCTTATTTGCTAACATCTGTGAGGAATGTAAGAAGCCCATTGAATGTCATTCCAAGGTAAGTACTTAATGGATTACACTTTGGATGGTAGAAAGAAATTTCTAGGTATTTTCAATCCTGGTGAAATACTTAAATTGATTAAGGGCAATCCTGGAATAATTCATGTGGAGATGTAGGGCTGGTAGGGTTGCCAACTCCAGCTTGGAAAATTCGAGGATATTTAGGGGGGGTGCCTGGGGATGGGGTAGTTTGGGGTGGAAGGAAGCTCAGTAGAGATGTAACTCTATACAATCTACTCTCCGATGCTGCCATTTCCTCCAGGGTGTAGTCTGGACTCTGGAGACCAATCGTGATTCCAAGAGAACTCCATGCCCCCACCTGGAGGTTGGCAACCTTAGGGCTGGAAAAGACCATTCATTACTGGGCAAGATAATTTTGTTACATTGCCTGGCAAGATGTCGGTTGAGTGGAGTGAATTGCCTTTCTAAAAACTGAAAACCTTTCTATGTCCCCTATCTGCCCCATTCAGGATCTCCAAGGAAGCAAACATTAAAATATTTCAAACATTAAAAAGAACATATAAAATTAAAAATACATAAAATATTTAAAACAAATTAAACATATAAACACAAACAACTCTCCTGCTGGGTTCAGACATAATTCACTTACTGAATTCATTGCCATAAGATGTAGCAAAGGCTTGGATGTCTTTAACAGGGGATTAGACAAATTCAAGGAGGATAAGTCTGTTAACAGCTGTTAGCCATAGGGTTTCCAGGTCCCTCCTGGCCACTGGCAGGGGATGCGGGGGGAGGGTTGCCAGATCCAGGCTGGGAAACTCCTGGAGATTTGAGGGAGGATCCTGGGGAGGACAGGGACCTCAATGGGGTACAATGCCATAGAGTCCACCCTTCAAAGCATCCATTTTCTCCAGGGAAACTGATCACTATAGTCTGGAGATAAACTGTAATTCCAGAGGGCCCAGGGTCCCACCTGGAGGCTGGCATCCCTACAAGTAGTATGCTTAAAGTATCAGTTGCTGGGAGACAACAGAGGTTGCCTTGGCTTCCCTGTTCTGTTTATGAGCATCTAGCTGGCCAGTGTGGGAAGCAAGATGCTGGACCAGATGGACCTTTAAGTAGGAAAAGGGAAACAATTCACTATTAACATAAGAGTATAAGAAGAGCCCTGCTGGATCAGACCAGTGGTCCACCTATTCCAGCATCCTGTCTCACACAGTGGCCAACCAGTTCCTCTGGAGGCTTAACAACAGGGAATAGAGACCAAGGCCTTCCCCTGATGTTGCCTCCTGGTATTTAGAGGTTTACTGCCTCTGAACATGAATGCTCCCTTTAGTCACCATGCTAATACACCTATCCTCCATGAATCTGTCTAATACCCCTTTACCTACCTTAACATATGACACCTTGACATTTTAAATTCAAAACCAGGCATTAACCTTCTTCAATTAATAGCTGTGATTCATGAAGCTATACTAACTCTCTGGCCAGATGGGCAGAAAGAGTTAACCTTTGTAGGAGTGTCTGTTGCCTTTGGTATTGCTTAGGAGTTATCTTGGCTATTGGTTAAATTGACTTTGAATCAATGCTGTCCATTATACGCTCATAAGGAAAACACCCCCTTTCCCAGCATTCAGTCCTGCTAAAATAGACTGGAAGTCTAATGACAAACTCACTGAAACACTGAAAGCTGTAACACTGAGATACAAACGGGAAGATTTGGGAAGGGGGTTACATAGACCCATCTACCCCCCAAAGTAATCGGCAGATTTTGTGCTGAGACAAATTTTTCAAAATCCAAAATCCATTGTGTGAATTAATAACCTGTAGCAGTGCCTCCTGGAAAGAAATGGGAGCTTATAAGGGTCTGCCATTTCCCCTGGGACTCAATAGGATGGCTTTCATCCATCATCTGAATTCAGCATCCTACTATAAAGAAAGACCTTCAGGTGCTGCATTAACCTCAGTAGAATGTCTTAGCTATCTGATAAAAAAGCAACAAGTAGGCAGGTTTTTAACCATTCTGTTTATAGGGATCACAGTGCTTTCTATCCTTGGTTTAATTCAACTGATAAGATTAAGGAAAACTTTAAAATAAATACTGCTGACAAATCACCAGTGAAAAATGACTTGCATTGGTCTATAATACAAATCGTTTCCACTGTTAACATCTATATTAAACTATTCAAGAGGCATCTCCCTAGAAACAAAATGTTATCATTTTAATGTAAGAATAATGTCTTTTATGAGCAAGATGACTCAAAAAAGATGTTTTGATTAAAAAAATATTTTATTTGCTAAATGACAACTTAATTGCTTCTTTATCTCCTCGTGCTTTCTTGCTTATCATGTAAATTATATCATTTTGGGAACAGAGACAAAGTAAATAAACCTTTGGGGGGAAGGGTCCTTTGCATTTGTTTTTTCTTCCTTCAGAGAGAATTCACATTGGAACTATGTGTACCACAGTGGGACATGGTAGAGTGCCTGCCTTTTTCCTTTCACCCAAACCAGTCCTATTCAGAGTTATTCCAGTCTAAGTCCCCTGAAACCTTTGCTTATGATTGTATTGTAAATCCCATTTGTGGTTTGGAGATGACTACAAACAGTTTGTCCTTTCCCCAACCCATCATGTATTTTATGTACTGACTGTGAGCTGCTCTGAGCCTGCATTGCGGGGAGGGCAGGGTATAATTGTGATTAATAATAATAATTTAATTTTAAGCTCCTCAGGTGGTGGAGGTCAAGTAATCTTAAGTGAAGCCAGAAGAGGACTGTCTTTGTGACTATTACATTTGGGAGAAAGTGCAAAATTATACCTTGCTGTAACCGTGGTATACGTTGGGAGCAGTTGTTACTTAGGTTCATTGGTGGTACATTTTATGCAGGGAGAGGACGAGGCTCTAGTGGTGAAGCACATGCTTACTCAGAGGAAGTCCCTGGTTCAGTCTCTGACATCCCCAGTTAAATGCTGTTAAGTAGTAAGGAAAGGCTGAGATACTGCAGAGCCACTGCCAGTCAAAGAAGATAATACTGAGCTAGAAAGGGAGAAGATCTAACTTAGCATAAGGTATTAGGGATGGGCACAAACCAGCTCACAAACTGAAGTGCATGACAAATTTTGGCTGGTTCGTGGTTCATGAACTGAACTTCATGGCAAATCGACCTGCACAAACTTTCCATGAACTTTTCAAGTGGTTTGTGGTAGTTCATGAACAGATACATTTCCAGACAGACTGTCTCTGCTCAATCAAAATGTTTACCAAACTTCAAAGCAATGGGGGGGGCAGAATTGGAGGGCATGTAGAGGAGCATCAGGGGGAGGTCCATTGCAAGTTTGATGCTTCTAGCTTCCAGAGGGTCTATTCTACACACTCCTGAATCTGCACCTGTCATTTCCCCAGAAAGTAGTTTCCTGGGGGCACCTTCGTGGGGGGGGGCATAACTCAGACCCCGGAAATTTAATCCTCATCAAACTTGGAGGGCAGGTAGAAAAGAGTCAGTCAGAGATCCTCTGTGCATTTTGTGTACCTAGCTTGCACAGAGTGCATTCTACCACATCTCAAACCTCATGAACCAAACCAGTTCATTTGGTGCCTAAACGTTTGTGATGGTTCGTGGCTCATGAACTATCACAAACTGCATTCTCCCAGTTTGTGCCCATCCCTATAATGCATCTTTATGTGTTCACAGACCGCCTTTCTTCTTTTAACTCAAGGCAATGTGCTTCACAGTGCCTTCAGACTATACCTAGGTCCCTATCTCTTGGACCAATGGATTTACAACTTTCTGTGGTACAGGATCAGTGGAAAAGAGTAGGAAAACAGCCTGTTCTAAAGCTATTATCTTAACAGGGCCAGCTACACCATGTATATCCCTTTCAGCCATCTCTGAGGTCATCTTTGACATTCAGTCTGCACCAGTGGCTCACGATGTCTTCCATTGATTTTATCTTCCTGCATTTTTAAATGAAACAAATGCTTTTTATTAACATGCATTTACTGTCTCAAAGGATCTTGCTTATAAAGGCTGCCACTGGCATGAAGCGTGCTTCAAATGTGCCAAATGCAATCACTCTTTGGTGGAAAAGCCTTTTGCTGCCAAAGATGATCGCCTGCTGTGTACAGCGTGTTATTCTAATGAGTATTCATCAAAGTGCTTCCACTGCAAGAGGACCATAATGCCTGGTAAGATAACAAGGAAAGTTATTTTTTAACTACCTAACTAAATAAAAGTGGCCCGTGGCACTCTTAATTAAATATGAGTAATTGATTAGTTGAGTTTAAAAGGCAAATCTTGATTTTTGGACTTGAGCATGATATTCCTGAACTTCATTCCTTTAATCCAAGGGTCCTTTCAGATGAATGCTTCCATGTATAGGAAGGGGGGGAGTTTGCCATTTGCTATTAAAACCAAAATTTGCTGGGAGAATCCATTCATCTCTCCCATGCCCCCCCCAGTGTTAGCTATTTATTTTATTTAACATTGCATTAGTAAACCCCTATTCTCTAAAGAGGGGCAGGGCAGCATTCATAACTCTTACTTTGTCTTATCCTCTTATTTTGTTTTATCCTCAATCCTCAATACAACTAGCTAGTCACAATCTACTCATGATGCAGACAGTGGTCTTAACACCATGGCCATTTGGAAGATGAGGTCCCCCCATGTTTGTTTTAAGGATTATTTTTATTTTGTTTAACATCCAGCTCTAGAAATTCAAGTGCTTGCACAATGTAGTGTGCTATTTTGGTTGGTCTTAATAAAAAGTATAACTTAGATTTATATGGACCAACACAGCTACCTATCACTTTTAGTGTTTTGTAAGGAAAGTGAGGCTGAAAGAATAAGAGGCTCAAATGAGTTTAATGGGAGAAGGAAGATTCCTAGTTCAACACTCTAGTCCATTGTGGTACTCATGGGACCAATGGTGCTCACCAACAGGTTTCTTAGTAGCCATTTGCTTCTGCCCTAAACTAAACTAAATAACCAGTCTGGATTTCTTCCTCTTCACTGGAGCAAGAGATATTTCAGAAGAACCCAAGAAGCATCACTTTTTTGTCTGCAGGTAGCACCCATTCAGAAACAGCAGTTTGTATTACTGGAGGATGCTTAACTGGCAACCTGCTGACATTTTGTAATTGGCCTCAACCCTCGTTTTATGTAGGCACGCACTCCCCATTCCCAAAATTCCAAAAGTACCCTTGGGGTCAACAAGATGGGGGTCTCAGGCTGTAGTCTAACCACTATGCCAAACAAGTTCTCAGATATGCTCTCTGCAATGTGGTTGGGTAAGTATGGTTTGGAGCTCATAGTTGGTGTCTGTAGGATCACTGGTTATCACATTGTTCACATAGCAGGTCCACACTATTTTGAAACTTTTAGCACAGTTAGATTTAGCTATTCAAAGGTTTTAGGTCAGCCCAAGCAAGGAACAAAAATTTATGCTGCAAAAGCATTGCCAATATTTACATATAGAGCTATAAGAGTGCGATAAGAAACTCCCCAAAACAAATTCTTAATAAACAGGAAAAGAATATAAACTAAGAGTGACAAGATTTATGGTGTCTATACCAGGAAGGAATTTGTTGAAGCAAATATAGTGAGCAAAAGATACGCACATATATTACTATTTTGCTTCACTTTAGACAGCATTTTTCAGTTCTCAGTCCTCTGGTATTTGTGATGACCTTTTACATTTAACAATAAAATTTGAATGAGAAATCTTCAAATGAGGTTGCTTTGCTGAACAAAGGCTGATAATGCTGTACTCAGCAGTGAATTATAAAGAAAGGACATCATTATTTTATAACTCATTATTGGATGATGCATCTTTCAAGAACATGCCCACCTGGCCAGTAATCAAAGTGATTTTGTGTTTGGTTTTGCAGGTTCTCGTAAAATGGAGTTTAAATGGAATTGCTGGCATGAAGCTTGTTTTGTTTGCCAACATTGTCGGCAACCACTAGGAACAAAGCCTTTGATTACCAAAGACAATGACAATTATTGTGTACCTTGCTTTGAGAAGCAATTTGCTCAGTGCTGTTACTCTTGCAAGAAGGTAATAAACCAAATGTAAATAAGCGGGGGTGGGGGGAGGAAGGGAGACTAGAACATTTCAGTGGATTTGACTGCTCATATAAAATCCTGATCCAGACATCTCCAGCTCTTCTGGCACTGAGCATCAACAGAGACCAGAGAGAGGGGATGCTAGAAATCAGTTCTCCCGTGTACCCAAAAGGGTAATCAGTAGGTCAGTGTTGTGTGACAGCACTACGTATTTAGCAATGTGCTTAATCTTTCAGGAGCATCGTGTGTGCTTTCTGGGATACTGGAGGGTTTTAACTCCTCTACCCTGTGAGCATCCGTCTGTGTATCTGATCCAGAAAGGGATTAGGCATGTTTCCAGTCACATATAAATTATATTCTATGGTCAGTATTGCTCCAAACTAGAGCCCTTCTGGGGTTTATTGAGATTCTTAAAAGCACTTATCACTGTACTATAGTCCCTGGGGGAAATTATGTGCTGTTATGGTTTTTCCTTTCTTTCTAGTTCTTTCCATGACAGCAGGCTCTGATCCAATTCAGTTTGTTTTCGTGGGAAAACAGTTCAAACTTCTCGGTAGGGGATGGAATTGTGATAATCCAACCCCCTGTACAAAAACAGTGCCTGCCAATAAATTATAGGAATGCGTGTAAAGGACTAATTTCCAAATAGTTGTTTGGTCGGAGTGAGTACAGATGATTACTTAATGAAGTGGTAACTGAAGTTCATCAAGGCTTAGATGCTATGCAACAAGACCAGAGCTCCACTGCATAACATTTGTTAGCCACCTTTCTCCCTTGTAGAACTCAAGATAGACTTACAAAATAATCAAAACAATTATAAAAAATACAACAACAACAATATAAATAGGGCAACAATTATAAAAACCTACAAAAAGTCAAAATTTTAAAAATCCAGTTAGGTCTACCAATAAATAAAAATTAACTCAGTCAAATGCAATCCTAAATAAAACTGTCTTCAATTGTCTCCTAAGTATCAACAGTGAGGGGGCCACACGCACTTCCCTGGAGAAGTTGTTTCATAATTGTAGAGCTGCCACTGAAAGGACTGTCTCTCGTGTGCCCACCAGACAAGCTTCTTTGAGTGGTGGGGCAGTCAGGAGAGCCTCTCCCTGCAGTCTTAATTTCCAGGCAGGAAAGTATGGGAGAAGACAGTCCTTCAGATACTCCGTTCCGAAGCCACATAGGGCTTTAAATGACAAAACCAACATCTTGCATTGGGCTTCGGATAAGACTGATAGCCAGCGTAATTGCTGTAGTATTGGGGTCATGTGCTCCCAGTAGCTGGCACTGACCAGCAGTCTAACCAAGCCAAGGTAACCCCAAGTAGAGTGCATTGCAATACTCCAGTCTAGATGTAACTAAGGCATGGATCACTGTGGCTAGATCTGACTAACCCAGGAATGGATGCCGTTGATGCACCAGCTGAACCTGGGCAAAAGCACTCAGGGCCACCACAGTCACCAAAGGTCACCTCTGTATCAAGCAGCACTTTCAGACTGTGAAGCTGGATGTTCAAGGGTAGTATAAGCCCATCCAAAACAGGAAAGATCTCAAGTCCCTGGTCTGTCTTTCTACTAACCCAGAGAACCTCTGTCTTGTCAGGATTAAGAACAACTCCCCCCCCCCCCGCACCATTAGGATAAAAAAAAGTTCACCTCCCACTGTAGTCCTCTATGTCCCTCCAAATTGTGCCCCCTAAGGGTCAGTGGGTCTCCAGAAACATTGAAAATTGTTCTTCCCTACTTCCACATGTGGAAGAGCTTTCCTCAAGGAAAAAGAAATGTTAGGATCCAAGCCCAAGTCGCTCCATGCCAACTGTACTTTCAGCTGTCATCCTGCTGTGGAAAGGAGAATTTTATTATGTTTGCACTTGAACCGAAACCTAAGGGAGGAGGGAAATTGTAAGATTGTTTTCTCCACTGCAGGATTATAGAGAGGAGGAATGGTTTATCAGATAGTTCTATAAAAATGCCATGGTAATTACCAACTGGTACTTGATAGTCTGTGTCCTCTTTAATTAAAGAGGTTGCAGAGAAAGGAAATGCATGATGCCTCTAATGGAAATCAGTTGCATATATGAGGCACATTACTGAAGGCTGATTCTTGCTTTTAAATAAAGGTTTGAAACATAAGTAAAGGAAATGCTTTTGAATAAAGGACGTAATATTACAAACAATTATAATAACGAGGATTATTTCTAAGGCTAGAATGCCTGTGGCTGCTTCCAAAGTACATCATCATCATCAGTGTTCTTATTGTTGTTATTGTTATTTAAAACATTTTATGCTATTTTCCCACCCTCTCGGGATTCACAAGTTGCAAACATAAAAAACAAAACAGAGCAATTTTTAAACAGTTAAAATTATAAAATAATTTAATTAAAAACACATAAACAACAGTAAAGGAGGGCCAGTAATTGCTATTTGGGGTATACCAGATGAAAAAAATGGTCTGCACCTGCTAGTGAAAAACACCAACAGAGGGAGACAGATGAATCCAAAATTTTGGTGCCACAACCAATAAGTCCCTTTATTTGGTCACCACCACCCATCTAGCTTCAGTTGACAAGGGCAACCAAAGCAGGGGCTCCAAAGATGACCAGAGTGTACAGGTAGGTTCGTATGGGAAGAGGTGGTCCTTTAGGTATATTGGTCCTTTAAAGTTCAATGCCAGCACTTTGAATTGAGCCCAGAAGCCAGTGTAAATGGAACAATATTGGAGTGATATGGTCCATACAACTTATTCCAGTCAGCACTCTGGCCACAGTATTCTGTACCAATTGTAGCTTCTGGACAGTCTTCAAGGGCAGCCCCATATAGAGTGCATTGCAGTAACCCAATCTAAATATTACCATGGTATGCACCACGATGGCAAGCTCTTTTCTGCCCATTTATGGCTGCATGCGGCTCACCAGTCAAAGCTGGTGAAAGGCACTTTAGGCCACGGCTGCCAACTGTCTGTCCAACAGGAGACCTGGGTCAAGGAGCACCCCTAAGCCACAAACCTGCTGTTTTAGCATGAGTGCAACCCCATCCAGTACAGGGGATTACTCATTTCCTGGGTCATACTTTCCCACCACCAGTAGTACCTCCATTATATGAGGAGGTCTCCCCCTCGCTCTTTCTCCCTTGTAATCTCTAGTAATGCAAAATGCGTGATGTGATAATACCATGTCACATGTTTCCTTTGCCCCTTCTTCAGTGGGCTGCTACTTCTGAGGGCCATACAAACTCACAACATGATATCACTCATTCTGTTTTACAAGAATTACAAACATGGTGCCCGTCTTATGGGAGAGATGAGTGACTGCTGCCAGTCTCTGAAAACTTCTCATTGAGACCTAAGAATCTCATTTTTCACCATTCTGTTCGGATCCTAGTGGTTGAAATCAGAGCCTCACATTACAACCTCACTCCTCAATCCCATTCTGAAGCACACACAGGACTTTTCCACTATGAAGATTCTCTCCTTTATTTCTATTGAGGGGACAGCTAACATACCTAGGAATCCTAAACGTGCACTGGAGCACCTCTGGATCAGATCCCTAGGGGCAGATAATTGGAAGCAGAAGTAACCAATAATGCAAGATGAGTTTTAGCTTTTTTTTTTTTTTTTAAGTTGTTTGTAGCACCAGAGATCAACTTCAGGACATTGTACCTGACAAATTACCATTCCCCAGGGGAAGCATAGGACAGTGCTTCTGAACATGTGCAAAATGTTTATGGGGTAAATCTTCTTTGCCAGAGTTTATGATCCCAAAGCAGACTTCATTCCTGCATTTTTCTTTTTAAGGAAACTAACCAATTAGTAACCATTTCTGAGAATAATTTAATGCCTACTACAATGCTAATGTACAATAAGGTTTTTTGGCCCTTTTTTGTTCTGAATTTTTACACTTCCATGACCAAATGCAAGGCATCTGGCTCTCCATGTTTTCTTATGTTCTTGTTTGTCAACCATTAGGTGATAACTACTGGTGGTGTGACATACCGTGACCAGCCATGGCACAAAGAATGCTTTGTATGTACAGGATGCCAGCAGCAGCTTGCAGGTCAACGGTTCATTTCAAAAGATGAGCATCCTTACTGTCTTGAATGTTTCAGCCGATGTTATGAAAAAAAGTGTGCAGCCTGCTCCAAGTCCATTACAGGTGACTATGAACTATTCAGTTACACACATATTGACTGTCAGCATTTTAATAGGTCTGTTTCTGCTGGGATCAAATAAATTTTACAATTTTAAACAGATCATTGAAGCAAATAAGCCTTTACATATTTGGGTGTGAGTAAAATCATTAGGACCAATTCCCCACAAGCAGCTGTGCCGCCCTCACTCTTCTGTTTGCCCCAGTTGTATTGGTCAATTTCACAGTATGCCCCACATCTTCTTAATCCTTATTTTTTGAGATCAAGAAGACACGGGGGAGATTGGGGGAAGATGCAGGTCAAAATGCCATTGGGCAGCAAATAGTGTGAAATTGACCAATACAACCAGGGCAAATGGAAGAGCAAGGGCGGCACAGCTGCTTGTGGGAAATCAGTCTAGCTCAGGAGGAAACAATGTTCTTATATACTAGATAGATGTGTAAAAACAGGCATGGTGACAGAATTCTATCCTGTTTGATAGAGAAAGGAGGCCTCTTCTCAAATGCTGCCTAGTATCTGAGGATGTTGCAAGTACTTATAATTTATGTTTATTAAAAAAAACCCTGCTGCTCAATTAATTGAGAGCAGATGTTTGATCAATTAATGAGTTGGATGGAGCATGACATGTAAGGTGTTTCTTCCCTTCCTTCTGATGATATAGATTAAAGCAGGAGGAAAAGGATCCTCCACTGTCCCTCTATGGGGAATGGGCACCATTCAAGAGTTTACCTTGCTGCACCACTTCTCTTTCTCATGGCCTGAGTATATAATGCCTGATATAAAAGCATTACAATGTCTATTCCCCCCCAATCCCTTTCCTGATGAATTTCAAAATTGGGGGACTTCAGTAAAGAACTGGGCCAATAATGAAGCAAACCAAACTTCTACCAAAACATCTTCATGGGCTTGCCACCCACTTCAGTCCCCTCGCTGAATCTTGTGGAAGGAAACCGGGAAGAAAGGCTGACCAGCTAGAGGCAAGACCTTGAATTTTCATTCTTAAAGCCTGGATAAATCAGAATACATTTATGTTCATTGTTGTTGTGTACATGGGAGCTGTAGTTTCTAATGCCTCCAAGGAGCCAATGAATTGAGCAAGGAGTCATTAGAAACTACATTTTCCATTCACTCCAGTTAAGAAACCTGAAATCAGGGACACACAGGTCACCTTCTGCGGGACGTTTATGTTGAGTGCAAGTAGTATCACTTCATCTCATCACCTGAGAAACAGGTCTCTTCTGAAACTGATACCCTCCTGCCTTGATCAGGACCTTTCTAAAACACTCCTTAAGGCCTTGTTCACCTGATTTCTTTGCTTCTCAAGACCTGCCACCAGGGCTGGTTCCAGGTTTTTGTAGGCCCTGGGCAAGAGAGTGCAACCGGACCACTTTCTCACTTTGAGTCTCTGTTGGAAAGAAATATAGGGTACAAATGAAATAAATTAATATCTCAAAAGAACCCTAAGAGGTAGGTTAGAAAAAGCTATAGTGACTTAGTCAAAATTACAGTGATGAATTTTTAAAACCTAGCCTCAAATGTCCAACATTAGCATCAACTGTTTCTCACTAATCACTTTTCAGTTCCAATATAGCTCATACTGTATGTAAGCCAATGTAAAGGTTGATAATTACTGGACAGTGTTTTCTTATGACAAGGTATGTGATTGCATGGTGTTTGTTCACATTTAGAATGTAAAAATTAGATATCATAGACCTCATTTCATATTAAACAGAAGCAATAGAAAATGCCCAGTTTATTAGGACTAAAAATCACAGCTAGATTTTGAATTTTATTTTAAAAATTAATTTCTCCAGGATTTGATCATAGATCTGTAATTTAAAATTAGCTCAGAATGTAATCTTATCTTGTGGTAAAGCTAAGAAATACAGTGTGTCAGAAAATTAAAATCTTTCTTGTATACAAAACTTGGAGCTTCACCAAGTAGCATCGAGCCATCTCAGCTCTGTGTTAGCTTTTCACTATCAAAGGTATAGGTAGAGGTACCTAAAATCCTGGTCTTTACCACAACACACTGAACATGCCAGGTCCCAGAGTGGAATGTGTTCTCCATCTGGAATGTCAGGTCTCAGAGTGGAATGACAGCCCCTGGGAGTAGGAGAATTGTATTGGGCCTGGAATGACAGCCCCAGGGTCAAATGGGCTCTTGGTAGTTGGTTATTCGATCCTTAGGCAGGTAGACAGCTGGGTGGCGAACCCGCATACTGACTGTATGATGACTTGCCTGCCCGGTGCGAAGGTAGCAGACATTACGCGTGTTTTAGACAGGCTGGTAGATAGTGCTAGGGAGGAGCCAGTGGTTGTGGTGCATGTCGGCACCAACGATGTGGGGAAATGAAGTCGTGAGGTCCTGGAGGAGAAATGTAGGCTGCTGGGCAGGAAACGTAGGTCCAGGACCTCCAAGGTAGCTTTCTCAGAAGTGCTACCTGTTCCACGCGCAGGGCTGGAGAGACAGGCACAGATCAGGAGTCCCAATGCGTAGATGAGAGGATGGTGTAGGGGGGAAGGGTTCAAATTTGTTAGGCACTGGGATGCTTTTTGGAACAAGAGGGAGCTGTACAGGCGAGATGGTCTCCACTTGTCCCGAGGAAGGAACCAGGCTGCTGGTGCTTAAAATCAAAAAGGTGGCAGAGCAGTTTTTAAACTGAATATTGGGGGAAAGCTGACAGGAGATGAAAAGTCTCTGGTTCGGGTTGGCTCATCTCAGAGAGATGAGGGGGTACCTGTTGATTTTCTACAGGGAGGTGGATTGAAATTGTCCACTGAGACCATGGCTAGTGACAGTAATTTCCCATACAAGTTAAGCCTGCAACCTTCCTCTTGCTATCTCAAGACCTTGTCAGGCAGACAAGGTCTTGAGATAGCAAGAGGA